TCAAGTTCTCCTGCTCTACGAACTGCAGCAACCAGGTCACGGTTAGATTCTGTATACATGCTAGTCACAAGTCCATATTGACCAGCTCTGGCTGTGCGACCAACCCTGTGTATAAAGTCCACAGCAGAAGTAGCAAAATCTGCCTGAAATGAGTAATTGATGCCAAGAGTTAGCGCTGTTCATACTAATAAATACCCGATGAATACTTGAAACAATAAAAAAACCTCAGACACACCTGGATAACATGTGATACATTTGGAATGTCAACACCACGTGCGGCAGAATCAGTGCACACGAGAATGCCACCTTTCTCTTGGAAATCAACCAATGTCTTTGCACGGTCTTCCAAGGAGCAATCTTTATGGTATTGGTAACATTCAATCCCAGCTCTCATCAATATCTTTGCCACCGATTCCACAGCCTCAACAGTATTTGCAAACACCATAGTTCGGCACTGACCAGAAGCGGATCTCGTCTCAATTCCATGTTTCACAGCCTTTACAAGTTCATCCACCTGAGTATCAAAAGTAACTTCAATCCACCTTTGCTTCAATCTGAAATATAACAGAAGCAACAAATTAACAACACTTACAAACACATCAATGTTAAAACATCTACTATTAACAGAATTGACTCCAAACAAATCCCCATACATGCAGCAAAATGTGCACAATATAGCACCACTACAGCAGTTATCTAGGGAGCAAAGGAGAATATAAACGGTAACTGGTAGATAAAAAAAAGGTATCCCACCTGGGGTTGTGGCAATGGAGGTAGTTTCCACTAACCCAATCGGCCTCTGGAAACATCTTCTTCAACACTGCCCCGGCAGTTCTCTTTCCATTCGCTGGAAGAGTAGCTGCAACAAAAATGTACTGTTTACTGCGCTTATAAACTTTTCTCACTCTCCTCCAGTCTAAACTTTTTACGTGCCCAGCCTCAACCTCCTCATGTACGTCACCATCTTTCTCAGAATCTCCCTCTTCTTCAAATATGTCTTCAGTCTGAAGATCGTCTTCATCTTCTGAACTGAAATGTGATGAAGTGGGTTCTGATGGATTCTCTTCACTTGACCGTGACAATAGCTTTTCATCAAACCGGAGCATGTGTATGAGACGGATAACCTTATTCTGGTAGCCCCCAGAGAGAAGCATATCCGCTTCATCAAATACCTGCCAATGCCAAATTGGCCATAAATCATGTGATTCCTTTTTCTATATGCATGCAATTATAGATATGTGATTTTGAATGGAGAAATAAACATACCACATATTTTACACTCCTTATAAAATCCGTACGGCGGAAATTTTTTGGGTCAATATTATTCAGAAGAGCAGCTGGTGTCGAAACAATAATATCAGGTTCATTAACTGGCCATCCCTGCAATCAAAGTTTATTTTTTTGTGAGAGAACTGTATCACAAACATTTGATAGGCACAGGGAAAGAGAAGGTGAACCACATCCATCTAGTAATACAAGTAACACCATACAAGTGCATCATTCTATATCCAAAACCGAATAACAATAACATCGATACCTGTCTCCCACAAAGAGATACAACACTTAGAAGTGGTTCGCCATTTTCGCCACAAAGACCGTTGGCCATCCGAACCACTTGGTCTGCAAGTGTCACATTTGGACAAAGAACAAGAGAAATCTTTCGGGGTTGGGACACTCCTTGATCAGAAGAAGCAACATTCGCAGACTCATCGTGCTCATTGGCATTACACAGCTTATCAATTAAAGGGACAAGGAAGCTGTGCGTTTTCCCACTACCAGTTTCAGCTGCCACAACAACATCCTTCCCTGAAAGTATAGATGGTATGCTAGCAGCCTAAAATCCCAATACAAAAAAAATGTATCAATAAAAATTCAAATTTCGAAGCGATTTCACAAATTGGGATCACTAATCTAAAACCCAGTTCAAGTTTTCACTGCCCAAATGGAGAAAATTGAGAAATGAAAGAATAAATTATGGGTAGGACTGAACTTGTCACCTGAACCAGAGACGGTTGGCCAAGGCCGGCATTGTAAAGAGCTTGAGAAACCTTATCGGATACGCCGAGGGACGTCCACGAAACGCTTTCTTCAGTGAAAAACGTATCTCCGCCGTCCTTCCGGTACGCGGCGGTGGTGGCAGTTCCGAAACGGCGAGGGTGGCTGAGCCAGAGCAAGCTGATCCGAAACGAAGACGAAGAATTGGAGAGAAGAGAGAAGGAGTGCCGGAATTGGGACAGTAATCTGGGCGGAGATGCGGAGAGTTTACAGAACGGAAGCATTATTGTGGCGGAGCGATGGGTTTTGGGGATTAGGGTTTATGGAATATGGAGATAAACCCTTGTTGCTGTGTGAAGATTGGTTTGGAGATGGAGGGAGAAGTTTAAGAGCGTATACGGTGACAGCAACAAGCAGGCGTGTTTCGTGACTGACGCATTTTGGTCCGTTGGATCATTTGCTAATCAGGCGAGTAGTTTAGAACATTACTCAAGTGAATGAATTTGTAACACGAAAATCATGGTTTCCCTATTCAAAAACAAAAACAAAAAATATAATGGCTTTCGTCCCTCCAAGGCTGATATTCTTTTCCAATAAAAGTACATATGCATGTTTTTATTCATGTGTTTTTCTTTTATTGACATAGAACGTCTCAACGTAGTGTAGTTTCACTTGATTGCCACCTATCAAAAGTTTAGTCTTAGTAACGTCAACTTTTGGTAATGTTTGTCACTTATACTATATATTAAAGTAAATGATTGACACGTGATAAATTAATGACGCAAGAGCACATGTCTTATGATGTCTTTCTCTCACACTGACCCCTTCAGTCATGGGGCTCAACTGTAAATTCCGAACAGTCAAAGGCCCTCAGGAGAAATCGAAATCCCACAATTCCACGAGTGTATACGACACCAGGATTTAGAGGAGGTTTTAGATAAGAGGAGGGGGAAAGAAATGAGCTGGGCTACTGTAACTCCGCTTCTATCACTGCCTCCTCCAAAGCTCCACCCTTCCTCCTCCTTCCTCTCTCCTTCTTCGTCGACGTCTTCGATTCCAAGGGTTCGGGTTTTAACAACCAGTAGCATACACTTTTCTTCTACTTCGCCATTTTTGTCTTTAAGAAAGCAGCAGATATGCAGAGCAGCGGGGGAATACAAATTTCCCGACCCAATTCCCGAGTTCGCTGATTCCGTAAGTTTCTGTGTAATTTTACTCGTTAGTTTTCCCAAAAGATTTGATTTTTTATTCGATTTGTCGATTTTTCGGGTGCAGGAGACAGAAAAGTTGAGGACCCATCTCTTGAATAAGCTCTCCAAGAAAGAAACGTATGAAGACTCGGTTGAAGAAATCGTAGGGATCTGCACTGAGGTACATAAACCACTTTTGGATTTAAACTTGCCTTAATTTTCTTTTTAGGCTGTTTAATTTGCTTAATATATGTACATTACATCATTGCCTCGTTGGGTGGCTCGGCCCGGACTGGACTATTTCAATTAAATTAGACTAATGTTCTGGCCGCTGTTTGATGAACTTATTGAAATGCGCAACAACGGACCAAATCCCCGCCCCCCAAGCACCTTTTTGCAGTTGCATAGCTGCTAGGTGGGTTTAAGAAAAGTTCATCCAAAGCAAAATGCAGGATTTGCACGTTACAGTTTGTGGATAACAGAACCACTTTGTGACCGAGTTCTTAGGTTGCTTATAGAAATGTTCTTGCCCTGAACTATTGTCGTTAAGGAGCTTTGATTTTCGAAGCCACCTCTGTTGTATATGGACTTATATACTTTGTTTTCGATATCATATCTAGGGAAGAATCTTGTTGATTCGTAGAATACAAGGGCACTACACTGTTTTTCCCTATGATGAATCGTTCTTTGAACAGATATTCAGTACTTTCTTGCACACCGAGTATGGTGGTCCGGGGACACTCCTGGTAGTTCCGTTCATTGACATGGCCGATACCCTAAATGAACGGGGATTACCTGGAGGCCCCCAAGCAGCTCGTGCGGCAATCAAATGGGCACAAAATCATGTCGACAAGGACTGGAACGCATGGACTGGCGGTGATGAAAATTAACAGGAAGCTCAAGCTCATGTTATGCGAGCTTGCTTCGTTGAAGTTTGCTAGTTGAAGGTTAGGTTATAGAGTTGGTCAAGCAGTTTCGATATCTGTTGTGCTTGTAAAACTTGATGGCAAGGGAAATTTGAACGTGTGTTAGTTTGCTTTTGTTGTAACATCATGCTGTGAAAATGTATTCCTGAGGTCTATCAATGAAGAGCTTTCCCTTCTGCCTTATGATCCCATGATCATCTTCTACTTGTTATTCGTTGTTGAAATTTTCGAGTTAGTTTTAGCTTTTTGTTTCGAATGATTTTTCCTAAGTACAAGGCTTAATCCAGTTTAATCGAAATCATCGTTCTCCGCAAATGAATTCACTCGCTGATTTATTTTGCTCTGTGAGCATGGGTGTAGTTTTACATCTTAGTCAGGTGGGACATCTTCTGTGTTCTTATGGTGAAACTTCGGCCTATCTTGGGCAAACTCAACATAGCAACAGAGGCCTGGCTTTCGGTTGATTCTTGAGCCGCTCTCACTTAATGTCGTGCAAGGAGTTGCATGCAAGTAAATTTTTTTAATCACCGGTTGTATACAATCATGTTTATCTTTGTCAACTAATGGAAGACTGATAGTTCGTTCTTTCTCTTGGACGAACTCACGGTTAAGGGTCTAAATAGACAGTTGTTAAGCTTAAAAGACACTTAATGGATGTATATTTGTGAAATAAACAAGTTCGTTTAGAAGGAAATCGTTATTGGCACTCCAAAATTCTCATTTTGCACTCCAAACTTTCTATATTTAGAAAGAAATTTACACTTGTAAGGAGTGCCAAATGAGATTTTAGGACTGCTAATAACAATTCCCCTTTCGAAAACCATCAAAATATTAATAAATGTCTCAAACTGCCTATGTGATTTCGGTGAACATAGAAGTAGACAGAGTATAAGTGTTGAGGAATAATTTGCCACGATGTCCCACATCGGTTAGAAGAAGCGCACAAACCACTGGAGAGCCACTACATAGTGCTTCTCCAGCCAACTGTTTACTCATGGAGCTGTGCGGTGAGCACAAAGCGAACTATTCTTTCGCCTTTTACTAAAGAATACCGTGTGCGCACCGCCAATAATAGCATACGCCTATTTTTTAAGGGTATTTCTATATTGAAGTGCCCTACAAATTAAAGTCTAATATTTGATAGTAAAATGTGACAAGTGCAATGTGGAAAGATACGAGGCTATAACCGGAGAATATCCGCGCCCTCGCAGCTGCCTATCTTTCTTCTTGAGATGCCCCGAACAGCAGTAACTGTTGATGATGCCGAATAGACAAGGACCAATGCTTTTACCGATGCAACATTTCGTAAGCAAAACATACGTGGATTATGGTTAGCTCTGGGGAAACTAATTACAAATCCGGTGGAGATCGATCCATAATCTCTTCCCTATCAATGAAACGCTCTAACAACTCTTTTTCTCGCAAAACTAAGCAATCTTCAGACTTGCCAAAGATGTCGTAGCGCCGCTTGGCAACATAATCATAAACCATCTCTCTCAGAGGAGTCGGGATCACCATGAAAGCACTCAAAGCAGAGTAAGGGAGAGGCAAGTACGACAAAACTTTCAGTGCAGCTGCAGAATCATATCAAATGAAATTTTGGAATTCAATTGTATACATAAACTGAAAACTTAAGACTATATTTTAAGAAGCTAATTACAGGGGGAAAATATGAGATGCAGGCCAACAGGAAAAGCAATTGCAATTGACATGATTGACATTCACGTAAATGTATAATATGTATGCATAAAATCTTCCCATGTTTAAAGTCTTGTTCCTTGAAAGCTGAGAGCAGAAAATTCGTCTAAATCAACAAGGCTTAGAACTAGTATTCTGTGGAGACATAGAACTAGTATTCTCGATCAACAAAGTTCGAAAATCCAATAAGTTTGTTGCTACTATTTACTATCAGAAAAAAAAACAGAAGAATTCCTAGAAGATTAAAGACACCATCCCAAGGGAGTCTTAATGCTATTAATAGATCCTTGGATTTGAAAAGATGGACTATGGCAAGGTTCCGACACGACTGGATTTTCTGTTACTAATACAAAAAGGAAAAGAATAACATACAAGATGGACAGTTTAACATCACATATGTGTTTATAGAAGAATAGCGAGAAACCAAAGTTTTCTAGCTAACTCCTAATATCTGGGAAGAGAAATTGTTCATTCTGTTTTAAACATAGCTGTACAGAATAAATCTACCAAATAGATAACCCATGATCCATACACTGGTCCGAGCCAAAGGAACTCCGTACAATCCAAAGTTTATAAACTGTAAATTCAATAGTACAAACCTAAGTTACTTAACTGGCCTTAGGCAGCATGTTTCCAATCTTGTGTCTATCTTCTCATATGATATACATTCTTTCATCATAATTTCCTTAATCAAGTTTATTTACCAAACAGCGTCGACAAATTATGACACAGCATTAAAACAGAGTTGCTTAAAAAACCAATCTAATGGATTCCCCATGTACAATCCAGAAACAACACTCAAAGAATATGGATGTCTAGTACGGGTTGTTTATGAAGATACTTCATAATCACTTGGCATTATTCCTCACTGCACCATATTAAGAAAACCAAGCATTTGCAAAAGGGTTTGTAGCTCAATTAGTTAGGAGCGCATACCCCTGCACTCGAGGTCTTCTGTTCAAATCCCCCTCCACGAATATCACTTGTGCGTATAAACAAAAAAGAAAACCAAGCCTTATTTGCTTCATATCACTTTGCATTACCCAATTCTAGTTTGTTACTTCATAAACTCCGAGTTGGTAAACGGAACAATGAACTAATTTTTCAAACCCAGAACCAAAATGGAAAATTGCTAACTATTTGTAATACGCAATGCGATCATATGAATTCTAAAGCACAATTACAAAGTTCAAGAAAGCTGAAAGATTCTAACCAGTAGAGCCTTGGTGGTAAAGCCCGGGGCCTTCGACAAACAAGAATCGACGAAGAACGTCCTCCCGATCCAGACCACATAATCTCAGGTAAGGCTCAGCACTCTCCGATTGAACGCAACAGAATTTGATCTTCCTGTACTTGTCCGCTTTGATCACAAACTTCACCCCTGTTTTCAACAACATTTCAGACCAAACCCCAATTTCCCATTTCCTATCAAATTGAAAACCCTAGAAATTCATATCCCTCAAAACGCACAAGAAAAGAGAAAGGGGAAATGGGGTTTCTGAAATACCTCCATGGCAGAGATGGCAGACCCCATCGTATACCACGACGCCTGGCTGAAGGAGAGTGGGTTGCACGATCTTCGCCGCCGCGGAAGCAGTCGGGTTAGAGTAGACGGGCACGTCATCATCTTCATCTTCGCCCAGATCAGCGACGTTGGCGGCAGTGCTCGAAACGACGTCGCGGGGAGACGGTGAGTTGGAAGAAAATAGATATTTTAACGAAGGAGATGGAGAAGAAAGTGAAGCTCTTGCTTTTCTAAGTTTCGGCAGCAATCTGATCAGCCTTGCCGCCGTCATCTTTGGCTCTGGGTTTTTAGGGCTTTTAGCGGCGGCCCCGACTGTCGTTCAAAGTTTGTATTCCCACTCAACTGTGATGATGAATAAGAATAATTGTTTAAAACTAATTTATTCTCTTCTTTTTTTGTGTGAATATATTGTGTTAAAAAAAAAACTAATTAAAATGATTTGAAAACTTTGAGTTTTAACGATAAAGATAAAATAAAGAGTAAATTGAATAGTATATGTTTGATTTTTTTATGTAAAAATATGATTTTTCGTTAAAGTGAACAGTACCATAATCTTTTCGTTAAAACTCTTAAAAAAATTGCTTCTATAAATAAAAAAATTTGTTTGGTTCAATTTGAGTGCAACTCGACGGGTTGGACAAGTTGGATGGTAAACACAATCCTAACCTAATTTTAATATTTGGGTTTGGGTTTGGATTTGTCATTATCAACAAAAATGATGAAGCGTAGGAACATCCTGCACAGAAATTTTTTGCCTTTTTCGTTTTTAATGTATAAACCAAAATGTTGTACATACATTCTTTCTTTTGGTTATAATGGAAGAAAACTCGCTTAATTTTAAACCATTTGTCCACCTACCCACCCACCTCACCACTTGAATGATCCTCAAAAATTTATGTAGTATTGATTCCTGCCTCAGTAATTTGGGTTTTGTCTAGTTCAATCTATTAAATAGTCCGACTTTTTAAACAATCTTCACCGTTTGATTTCCTGGAGTCAACTTCGGTTACTGGTTAGCTATCTCCCTCCGAAGCCAAAGCAGCTTCTTTGGACCCATATTTTGCGAACGCGTCAGCGAGCACAGCCTTCTCCTCCGCCTTTAACCTACAGCACAAGAAACAATCTTGATGTAATTTACTAATTTTGTCCTTAAAAGACAAACCAGACTGAAAATTTTCAGTAAACATGCAGCTGAAGCTGATTACCTCTTGGAGGATCCGCCAGTAAGCTGCTTCTTCTTCTTAGGGGAGCTTTCTACTTTCCCTTTCATCAACTGTGCTCTCCTCCCATGTGTCCAGGGAAGAATCATCCAAGTCAGAAGCAGCTTTCTGATCTTCTTCCAATTCAGAAACAGTTAGTTGACGAGCATTATGGTTATCCGATGATTGTTTTATGGCGTCTTCCAGTTCTGGTCCATCAATCTCAACATCAGAGCCCACATATTCATCAAGGATAGTCTCCTCCGATGTGTCCATGGAACAATTATCTGAGTCCAGAAACAATTAGTGGGAGAGCACTACGGTTATTCGTTGATTGTATTTTATCCAAATTCAGCGGCGGCGTATCTACCAGCTCACATGTTATCTGCTTTTGAATTTTACCAAATGTAACACTCTGCGAAGAAAACATCTCAACGAATCTGCCATGATAGAAAAACCAATCAACTCATATATAACAGAAAACCGGCATTGTAATAAAATTTAGACCACGATGCATACAACCAAGATTCAAAAGTAAATGCTGATATGCATATGCTTGATAGTATTCTCAACTCTCAACATTCATAATTAAAACCGTGCCCTATCTGGTATTTCACAACCACACATATCCACCACATAGCCCGAAAACTTCCGCATCTTGTCAGTCACTACCTTTCTTCATGTTTCTTTTTTTAAAGAGACGATATTCTAAACTACTATATCCCAATGACGGGATTCAAACTCTATATCTACATTAAAGGGATTCAAACTCGGGTACAATTCAATGGTTGCATTCTCAAATTAGAATTCCATTTCATAAACCCTAAACCCACACATACCTAGTTCTAGTTGCATCGTTCTCCGTCTTGAAATGAACGAAAGCAAAACCCCTACAAATGGGGTCCTTAGTTTTGTTTCCGGAGACCGCAGGGTTTATACTAACCAAACCGGAGACTCCCAACCCGCTACTTCTCCGGGCGTGGACGGCAAGAAAACCGCGATGCGCGTGGTGGGTTTGTCGAAAGAAGCTGGTTTTGAAAATGGCGGTGTGGAGGGAAGCAGTTGAAGAAGATGGTGCGGGAAGACGAAACCCAATCGGGATTTGTGTCGTGGGAATGAGAGGGCGGCAGCGAGAAGGGATTTGGAAGTGCACGGAGGTGGAAACCTGCCGGTGCTTATCATCTTTACCGCTCAGTCCCTTCTTCCTGTTCCTCTTTGCTCTCCCGCTACTGAGCAAATGGATTAGTTCATCAACCGCTTTGGTATTAGCCACATGTATAATTTAACAAATAAAATTGAGAAAAAATTGCCTCAAGGTTTCGTGGTGTAGTTGGTTATCACGTCAGTCTAACACACTGAAGGTCTCCGGTTCGAACCCGGGCGAAGCCATGAATTTTGAAACCAAATCAATTTTTTTGAGTTTCTTTTGAGGCTGTCTTCAGTTGGGCTGGGTTTAGAGCAAACGAATTATTTATTGGGTTTGGTTGCACTTTCATACGGTTCCCAACCAATTGAGCCTTTTTTTTCAAGGTTTGTTTTTTTTTTGTTTTTTGACAAACGACATTGTTTGTAGATTAAATTGTTAGTTGATAGAAGGAAGGAGAATTAGTAAAGATCGAATTTGCACCAGAGTACATATGCATCATTACTTTCCTGCACTGTGATAAAACGTCATCTGCAAGCTTGTTAATGTCTAAGACGTTAAGGAAAATATTATTTTCTACCCCTCAGGCCTCGCAATCTCTACCTTGTTTGGCAATATTTTCTATTCTCAAATTTATTTTTTTGATATGAACATAAGTCGACTCATCGGAGAATCAAAAGGCATTATTTAGTAGCAGTGTTTAAAATATCAGTATCAGTGGAAATATCAATAGGCAAATTTGTGAAAATATCAATGGATATATCGTATATCGATATCAATTGCCTTCGATGGAAATGCTGAAAATTTGCTCAAAAACATGGAAATTTATAATTATCTTTTAGGGAATGTTATATGAAGCCACAACACATGTGTGAATCAAGAATTAGTGATTAGACAATGTGTAAACAATAAGTATGTGATATGTGAGAAGAAAAACTTCCTTACAACAACAAGTAATAAAATAAAGCATTTCACTAGAAAGAATAAATTATAAATAACTTCATTAAAAAATTTGTCATAAAAGCAGCACAAGCTTTATTGAAGTAAGCTAATACCATAAAGAAATAAATTTAAAAAAATAAAGAATGCATAGGCTCATTGATATTTCCTGCAAACTTTTTGCAAATTGTCTACAAACACTAGATATTTCCCGAAAATATAACAAATATCGAGGAAATTGACTGATTTCCGGAAATATCGTGGATATGAGGTGAAGTTCCCCCTCTTTCCATATCATTCCCTGAATTTTTAGATATTTTCATGGAAATATTGAACATATACATGATATTTCAAACACTGTTTAGTAGAAACAACACGAGTAAATTGTAGCAATGGTCCCTTAACTTTAATCAAATTGGAACAATGGACCCTCAACTAAAAATTCATTATGCTTGGTCCCTCAACTCATCAAAATGTGTAGCTATGGTCCTTTTCGTCAACTTCGTTAGAATTTTGCCAAAATAAGTTATGTTGGAATGACTATTGCTACAATTTGGGTCCCTCAACTCATCAAAATGTGTAGATATGGTCATTTTCGTCAACTTCGTCAGAATTTTGTGGAAATGAGTTATGTTGGAAGGACCATTGCTACAATTGGGTTAAAGTTGAGGGACCATTGCTCCAATTAGGTTAAAGTTGAAGGACAATTTCTCCAGTTGGATTAAAGTTGAGGGACCAATGGTAATGAATTTTTAGTTAAGGGATCATAGCTGCACGTTTTGATGAGTTGAGGGACCAACAATAGTAATGAATTTTTAGTTGATGGATTATTGATATAATTTACTCAAACAACACGAAAGTCAACATCAAGCATGAACTTGGCAATAGAAAAAATAGAGCAAGATGCTCCCCCGGGGCTGAGGGTCATGGTTCCACCTTCCATTCCAAACATGTTTACTTGTTGGCATTAGGATTAGGTGAGTGACAGCTTTCCATCGCTCTCCAATCTTTAATTATCACTTGTTTGACGTTTTAGTTGAAACGTATGAATATGATTGATCATCCATATACTAAATATTGATAAATCATAATTAGAAGTCTAGTATTTTTGTTCTTTTCTATATACCAAATTATTAGTTTTTTATTTGAGAAATCAGTTAAAACGATCATAAATCAAATATGTTGTTGAACTGATCAAAATCAAATATAAATGACATATTGGTTGGATATGAATGGCATAGCAGTGAAATGTTGATGACATAACCATCACATATCAACGATATACTGAAAACTAATCGTTTCAAATGAAGCACTACTAGCTCTATAGTTTTTATCTGAAATCGGTAAAAAACGATGAGAAATCAAATTTCTATTGTTGACCTAATCATAATCAAATATAGACTACATATTGGTCGAATATGAATGACATAGAGGTGTAATATTGATGAAAATAACATTCACATATCAATGATGTACTGAAAACTAATCGTTTCAAATGAAGCTAGTTTTGATCTTTCTTATCCAATATCCACCAAGCAAGTTAACAACTAATTAGTTACTATAACACTACTAGCAATTTTCATTATTTAATTGTCTTCTATCAAACATGAGAAGAGTTGTAATCAAGGACAAGCCGGTTTTGTCAGTTGCATGACAAAGATGCAACTTGTGAATCCATTATTTTGGCGTATGGGGCTTTGACCCCATCAACTCAAATATAAATTAAAATAAATCAAGGTAACATAATTAATCTACTACCTAGTTCTAGCCACTTCACAAAGAAGACAGATTGTTAATCATGTTTGTTAATTTTGAGAGTCCTTATGGAATCATTTACTTATTGATACATATTCCCCAAAATCATGATTAGTTGCACTAGATTTTAGAATTAAGCAATGATCAAAATTCTTACAAACCTAGCTAATATTCCAAAACATATGGTTTTACGTAGGTAAGTCTGTTAAGTCAAATGGTTAAAATACTGTGCGCTTTCTTTAGTATCCTAGTAGGTTCATTTTTTTAATTTAGAATAAAATATCATCGGGTGAAAAAAAAGGACCAAAAGGTTCGAAGGGAAGTTTAT